TCACCCCTTTCCAGGTTAGATTCCTCACAGATCTCTTCAAAGCATGTGTCACTACCAGTGGGCCACTGGTCACCCTTGTGAGCACATTGAGACTTTGCTTTCCAACAATTTAGTTTTTTCATATCTCTCAGCCTAGAGTGCACTGCATTGGCAAGCATTTCTATCCACCGAAGTATTCTTTATCCTTCAAGATTCAGTGCAAAAGACACCTCTGTGAAATGATCCTCAGAATGCTCGGATTACCAATACATTGTTTCTTTTCTATGCATTCACTTTATCTATGTACTCATTCTGCCTTTTATTATGATTGTTCACACATAAACCAGAGTAGAGAAATAATTTTGCTTCATTTACTCTGATTTTCCATAATAAAAAAAAAAAAGTTTTTTCACATAATGGTAGTTCAAAAAATATTTCCTATAATTTATCAGGGTTAAAACCTATAATATGTGAATACTGCTTTGTCATAATTATTGTATTAAAATATTAATATAAAGTACTAATATTTTATATAGAAATGAAAATAAGTATGACTATAATTTTTACTTTTGGCATTCTTCAGTGTTTTGGGGTCACTTACTCTGTTTAAGGATATAATATTAAGATAAAATATATAAAAGTGAGTTTCAAGGGCACAGTTTGCCTTCTTGAATAGTAATTACACTTAATTTAATTCTATATTTTTGACAAGTAAAACTTTGAGTTAAACCATATGGTTGTGTGTGTGTGTTTTAATATAATGTGTACAGCATTTTAAAATTTACAAAATATTTTCACATTTTTTTTTTTTTTTATCCTCACCCGAGGACACTTTTTCATTCTTTGTTCAGATAGAGCAGGAGGGAGAGAGAGAGAGAAACATCGATGTGAAAGGGACACATCGAGTGGCTGCCACCCGCACGACCAACCAGGGCCGGGGACAAACTGCAACCGAGGTACATGCTCTTAGCGGGAACCAAACCCGGGTCTCTCCGGACCGCAGGCCGACGCTCTAACCGCTGAGCCAAACCGGCCAGGGCTATTTTCACATTTTTTATGTCATTTCTTAGGTACTATACTTCTTATCCATTTGTATGGGCTCAGAAGAATCAAGAAATTTAAGAAAATAAATAAGAATTGGAACTTGAATTTCTTTCTTTTTAAATTATTTTAAATTAAAGGTGTTGTTCACAAACCCTTACTATGGTATAATTTTGTTGAATCCTCAGTGTTCCTTAGAGCCCCATTCTCTGAGTACTGGATTTATGGGAATCTTTATGAAAGATAAAGCAAGTGTGGCTACTCAATAAGGTGACCAGAGAATTAATGGGAACTGTGTGAGTAAAAAAAGGCAATATCAATAACTATCAGAAGAAGTAGTTATGTACCAGAACTGTCCTGAGTAAATTGAAATGTGCAATCTACCAACATTAACACTTGGGACAATCATATTTTCTCCCCCATAAGGCCAAAGTATAGAAAGTTATTTATGAATTTTAAGTGTTGAAATATTTATTAGTTTTTGTTGGGAAAGTGCATTTTATAGCAACAATATTTTTATAAAGATTTTTTTTCTTTATTGATTTTAGAGAGGAGGAGAGAGAGAATGAATGATAGAAACATAAATGAGAGGGACACTGGCAGCCTCCTGCATATCCCCCACTGGGGATTTGGCCCACAACCTGGGCATGTGCCCTGACCAGGAATTAAACTGGCGACCTCTTGGTGCACAGGTTGACACTCAACCACTGATCCACAAGGGCCAGGCTATAGCAACAATATTTTTAAAACCCAGATTTACTTAAAATATCTCAAAAATATTTAGTTTGAAATGAACTGTAAAAAATTTTATTTGCTAGTTTAGAGTGGAAAATTTGCTCCTTCACCCAGAACAAACATAAATAAACATGGACATATCAAAAGCCATTTTGGTAATAAAAAGTTTTTTTAAAAAAATATATATTTTCTTTATTGATTTTAGAGAAAGAAGAAGGGAGAGGGAGAGAGAGATAGAGACATTGATGAGAGAGAACATCGACTGGTTGCCTCCTCAACCTGGGCATGTGCCCTGACAGGGAATCGAATCGCGACCTCTTGGTGCATGGGTCAATGCTCAACCAGTGAGCTACACTAGCTGGGCTGGGATAAAAAAATCTTAAGCATATATATTCCATACTTAATGCTACAAATCATCATATAGTTCATTTCAGACAATATTTGAAAGCATCATTGAATCTTTGGCATTTCCAAAGTCCTTCTCTCTGCTTTTGCAGATCATTATTTATTTATCTTTTTCTTTTTTGGAGGACTTTGATTTTTATTTATTTACTTTTGACACATAAAAGTTGTATGCAGGGTGGGGCAAAAGTAGGTTTACAGTTGTTCATATGGAAAATAATACAGTAATTAATAAATAATATGAGAATAAACACTGTATTTTGTGTACTCACAAACATAATCTACTTTTGCCCTACTCTGCATGTAGAGTGTAAAACATGATGTTTGGATAAATACATACATTATGAAATGACTAAAATATAACAAATTAACATATCCATCATCCCTCATAATTATTGTGTGTGTGTGTGTGTGTGTGTGGTTGTGAGAATACTTAAGATCAACTTCTTTGCAAATTTTCAGTATACAATACATTATTATTAACTATCCATAGCCATCATGTGGTACATTAGGTCTCCAGACCTTATTCATTTTGTAACTGAATGTTCGTACTCTTTGATCAACATTATTTTTTTCCAGTTAATAACTTTAAAAACATATATTTTTAGAGATAGAGGAAAGGAGAGGGAGAGAGTGATAGAAACATTGATGTGAGATAAACATTATTGGCTGCTTCCTGCACAGCTTCTACTGGGGATTAAGCCCATAACCTGGGCATGTATTCCAACTGGGAATCGAACCAGTGACCTCTTGGTTCATGGGACCATGCTCTATTTATTGAGCCACACTGGCCAGGCTAATTAAGAACTTTTAAAACACTGTGCGGGAGAGCCAAAGGCTAAAGACTGATTTACAACAAATATCAATATATAACTTGTTTTATAATTTAATTATTTGAAAGCTTTTTAAGGTCTTAATTTTTAGCCTTCTTTTGCCTTGGTAAAATTAAAGTCACATAATAATCTAAATTACTGTATGTAAAATCAATCACCTATTATATAATATATTAAACATAAACCAATCATTCTTAATGTAAAATCACTTAAAATTTTTAATTATTTAATTTTATAAAATTTCAACTTACTAATCTATGTAGCACACCGAATTTATCTGTTAATTCAAAGTGATAAAATATCTTCAAAAAAGTTTGCTCGCCAGCTGTTCAGGCACCATCTGAAATATTCTTCCAATGATAAATCAGTTGGTTCAGATCTCTTTGTTGACAACTGACTGATCACTAGGCCAACATGCAAATCAGGTTTTTCTGAATTACTTTAACCCCAGTTTGGAAAAGTAATGTAAAACTCAAATAATCATGACTATTACGTTTTAATATAAGTCAAGTGCTCTGAGGACATTTTGCAATGTTCAGCAGTTAATGGATCTCCTTTAGTTTTACAACAATGACTCAGGTTTTGATGTTAACGAATATAATTTTTATGTCTTTGCACCTGAGCCTTTCCTTTGATGACCTCACATCATTCGATTTACCCTTTGACACTGACCAGGTCCCACTGGAAAAACTGGCATCATAGTTGAACGTAATGCCCCATAAAAACAAAACAAAACAAAACAAACAAAAACTGCAGAGTTTTCATTTTTTGCAACATACACTGGCCTGGTCGTTGAACTCCATGCCACAATGAAACCAGGATATGAAACTCTTGTACTCATACTGCAAATTGGTCCATAATGTTTTGTGTTATTTTTAGGGCTATTCAACAGTAACTATGAAGTAATTTGATAATATCTTAATATTACAATTGCAAAGTATTCTATTTTTGGAAGTATTAGTAGTTACTAAATTGCATTTTTATAACAATTCTTAGATTTCTTAAATTTGTATTTTGGTTTTGTTCTTTTTCCTAATATTTTAAACACTTTTATTAGTGTGTATGTGTGTGTGTGTGAGTATATATATATATATATATATATATATATATATATTTGTTACAGATGTTTCTCCTTTTTTTTCATTGACACCCTCCTTCCCATCCCTCCCACCCCGTCCCCAGCTTTGTTGTCCATGTCCATCAGTTATGTGTACATGCATATAGGTTCTGTGGTTTATCTCTTCTTCCCTACCCCCACCGCCCCCTCTTCTGAGGGTTGTCAGTATGTACCTTACTTCCATGTGTCTGGGTCTACCCTGTTCCTCAGACTTTATGTTCATTATATTGCACAAATAAGTGAGATCATGTGATATCTGTTTTTCTCTGCTTAGCTTGTTTTCGCTTAGGATAATACTCTTCAGGTTTCTCCATGTCATCTCAAAGAATAAGAGATCTTTCTTTCTTATAGCTGCATAGTACTCCATTGTGTATATGTACCAGGGCTTTTTCATCCATTTGTCTACTGATGGACACTTGGGCTGTATCCAGATCTTAGCTATTGTAAATAGTGCTGCTATGAACATAGGGGTACATATATTCTTTCTGATTGGTGTTTCAGGCTTCTTAGGGTATATTCCTAGAAGTGAGATCACTGGGTCAAACGGAAGTTTAATTTTTAATTTTTTGAGGTAACACAATATTGTTTTCCATAGTGACTACATCAGTCTGCATTCCCACCAGCAGTGTACTAGAGTACCCTTTTCTCCACACCCTCATCAACACTTGTTGTTTGATGATTTGTTGATGGTGGCCATTCTGACAGGTGTGAGGTGGTACCTCATTGTTGTTTTAATTTGCATCTCTCTGATGATTAGTGATGTTGAGTATTTCTTCATATGTCTCTTGACCATTTGTATGTCCTGTTTGGAGTGGTGTCTATTTAGTTCCTCTGCCCATTTTTTAATTGGGCTCTTTGTCTTCCTTCTGTTGAGTTATATGAGCACTCTATATAAAAATATGAAATGCTTCATGAATTTGTGTGTCATTCTTGCATGGGACATGCTAATTTTCTCTGTATTGTTCAAATTTTGGTATATGTGCTGCTGAAGCAAGCACTAGATTTGCATCTTGAATACAATAATCTTTAATTAAAGGTGATTAAAATGAATGTTAATAAAATTCTTGTTTTCCATTAGTGATTGCATGGCTTATGATGGGCTCTTATAAGCAATGAAATCATATTGAAATACGGGGGTGGGGGGAGTAAATTTACAGTTTTTCACGTGGAACATAAATACAGTAATTAGTAAATAATAATACAAGAATAAACTCTGTGTTTCAGGTACTCACAATTATAAACCTACTTTTGCCCCACCCTGAATTAAAATTTTATTGTTCCCATTGCCATTGAAAATAGCAACCTGACTAATGGAATTTAAGTAGGTTTCCAGGATGAAACTCAGGTTATTCATTGGACTACAGGGAATATATAATAATAATAACAACAATAATAATAATGATAATAATATATTATTCTGTCTATGGTAAACTATAGAAAAAAACAGCAAATATTCTTTCCTAGTGACTAAATTAAAAATGATCAAAGAAATCTTTTAGGATCTCTTATAAACCATGGTAATCATGTTATTCAAAAGATACTTGTACCTATATATCAATACTTACATTAAATATAAAATCAGTTATATGTTGCTTACCAGAAATATAAGTTAAACATAAGGACATAGGCTCAGAATAAAAATATAGTAATAAATATAACTTGGAAGCACTATCCAAAAGAAAGCTAAGGTATCTATATTTTTTTAAATTAATTATTATTGACATCAGATAGAGGAAGGGAGAGAGAGAGAAGCATTAATCTACTGCCTCCCTCAAGCACCCTGACCGTGAACTGAACCTGGAACCTGGGTATGTATCCTGACTTGGAATCAAACCCACCATTTTTGGTGTACAGGACAATGCTCCAACCAACTGAGCTATACCAGCCAGTACTAAGGTATCTGCATATATTAATACCAGAAAAAGAAGACTTTATGGCTAAGAAGACTTTCAAAGCAACATTACAGAGATAAGAAATGATAGCTAAGATCTGGAAACAATCTATATACATTAGTATATGAGTAGGAAAAAAGCTGTGGTACGTTTACACAGTGGAATACTATATAGCTGTAAAAAAAGAGAAGAATCGCTTACTCTTTCAGACAGCATGGAGGGACATGGACAGTATTATGCTAAGCGAAATAAGCCAATCAGAGAAAGACAAGTATCACATGATCTCACTTATATGTGGAATCTAATTAATAAAATAAACTGACAAACAAAATAGATCCAGAAACACTGAAGTAGGGAACAGACTGACTAACCCCAGAAGGAAGTGCAGAGGGGTGGTGGGAATAAATAAACCAAAGAACTTATATGCATATGTGCACAACCAAAGGACACAGACAAAAGTATGGTAAAAGTGGGGTGGGAGTTGGGGGGAGGTGAGATGGAGGGAGTCAATGGGGGAAAAAAGGAGGAACATCTGTAATACTTTCAACAATAAAGATACATTTAAAATAAAATTTTAAAAATAATATTTAAGTTACCAGGTAGATATAATAATTCTAAATAAGCCTGCAACTAAAAGCATAACTTTAATGCACTAAAGAAAAAATTGACCGATGAAAGCAGTAATAAATAATTCCACATTCATAATGGGGGATTTATTTATTTTATTTTTATTGAATATATTGGGGTGACATTGGTTAATAAAATTATATAGTTTCAAGTGTAGAATTCTATGTCATCATTATACTGTATTATGTGTTCACCACTCAAAGTCAAGTCTTCTTCCATGACCCTTTATCCCCACTTTACTCTCTTCTACCTCCCCGCGCTTCCATTTCTTTCTGATAATCACCATAGTATCATTTTTGTCCATTAGATTTTAAATTTTTTTGTTTAATCCTTTTACCTTTTTCACTGGGCCCCCAAACTCTTCTCCTCTCTGACAGTTGTCAATCTATTCTCTGTATCGGTGAAAGTCTGTTTCTATTATCTTTGTTAGTTTATTTTGTTCATTAGATTCCACATATAAGTGAAATCATATGGTATTTGTCTTTCACTAACTTGCTTTATTCACTTAGCACCATATTCTCCACATTCATTCATGCTATCGCAAAAGGTAAGATTTCCTTGTTTGTTTGTTTTTTACAGCCAAGTAGTATTTCACTGTGTAAATGTACCATATCTCCTTAATCAACTCATCTACTGATGGGCACTTGTAATGCTTCCAAATCTTGGATATTGTAAACAACACAGCAATGGGGGATTTTAAAACACCACTCTCAATAACTCCTAATAAACAGAAAAAAAATTTAATCAAATTATAGAAGATGTGAATAAACCAATGAATACATAATTGATTGGTACACACCCACACACATATCTACATGTATATAAATATTCTGATTTATATTATTTTATATACATAGATATAAATATATAAAATACCACAAAAACTGATGGTAAAATATGCACTTTTTTCTAGGGCATATGAAATTTTATCACAATAGATCATATCCTGAGCCATAAAGCAAGTGCCAACAAATTTCAAAGGTTTGAAATCACTATATTTCCTTACTATTGTGAAATTAATTAGTGTTAAAAGATAATTTAATAAATTCTAAAAGATTTTAACATTAAACAATGACTAAATAATCCATGGGTTAAAAAAATCAAAAGGAAAATTAGAAGACACTTTAAAATAATTATGAAACTACATCAATTTGTGAGATACATCTAACTCTGTGCTTAGAAGGACATGCATAGTCTTAAATGCATACAGTAAAAACTAAAAAAGTCCACTTTGAAAGTTTAAAAAAGAAATAGTAAATTAAAGTCAAAGAAACTAGAAGAAAAATAATAATTTAAGGAATTAATAACATTTTAAAAACATGCAACATGGACCTCAGAAATAATGTAAAATACAAGGCTTAAAACTTTTAGAAGATAACAAGGAGAAAATCTAGGTGACCTTGGGGTTGACAATGACCTTTCAGATACAATACCATAACCATGATTCATGTAACACACTATTAAATTAGTGAGAAGAGAAGCCACAGATCAGAAAAAAATATTTCTAAAACACATATCTGAAATGGAAAGGCAACCCACTGTATTGTCAATGTTACATCAGATAAGGGGTTAATTTCCAAAATATATAGAGTACTCATACAACTCAACAAAAGAAGATGAAGAACCCAAATAAAAAATGGGGAGAGGAACTAAATAGACACCTCTCCAAACAGGACACACAAATGGCTAAGAGACATATGAAGAAAGGCTCAACATCACTAATCATCAGAAAGATGCAAATTAAAACAACTATGAGGTACCACCTCACACCTGTCAGAATGGCCACCATCAACAAATCATCAAACAACAAGTGTTGGCGAGGATGTGGAGAAAAGGGGACTTTAGTACATTGCTGGTGGGAATGCAGACTGGTGCAGCCACTCTGGAAAACAATATGGTGTTACCTCAAAAATTTAAAAATTGAACTTCCATTTGACCCAGTGATCTCACGTCTAGGAATATACCCTAAAAAGCCTGAAACACCAATCAGAAAGAATATATGTACCCCCATGTTTGTAGTAGCACTATTTACAATAGCTAAGATCTGGAAACCGCCCAAATGTTCATCAGTAGACGAATGGATAAAAAAGCTATGGTACATATACACCATGGAGTACTATGCATCTGTAAGCAAGAAAGATCTCTTATTTTTTGAGACGACATGGAGGGACCTGGAAATTATTATCCTAAGCGAAACAAGCCAAGCAGAAGAAGACAAATACCACATGATCTTACTTATTTGTAGAATATAATGAACATAACAGTCTGAGGAATAGGGTAGGCCAGAGACATGGAAGTAGGGTACAGACTGACAACCCTCAGAAGAGGGGGGGTTGGGGGTAGGGAAGAGATAAACCACAGAACTTAAATGCATGTATGCATAACCAATGGACACAGACAACAAAGCTGGGTATGGGGTAGGAAGGATGGGAAGAAGGGTGTCAATGGGGAAAAAAAGGAGAAACATCTGTAACAAAAATAAAATAATAAAACACATATCTGATAAAAGGTACATCCAAAATATACAAAGAACACTTAAATCTAAATGACAAGAAAATAAGCAACCCAATAAAAAAGTGGACAAAAGATGTAAAAAATAACTCACCAAAGAAGATGTACAGATGACAAATAAACATATGAAGATATGTTCAATATAATGTGTTACTAAAAACTGCAAGTTCAAATAATTATGAGAGAGATTCCATAATGGCAGCAGAGTGAATGGAAACTACACCGACCATCTCCCAGGACCAAACTGGAATTACAACAAAAATAAATACAAATAGTTGGGAAAAACCAACAGAAAAGCAGCTGGAGAGGACCCATATATTTAAAGACAGAAAGAGGACACTAAGTCAAAGCTGGTAGGAAATGCAGAGGCATGAGTGGGCAGGCTGTGAGCCCACAAACAGCAGCTGTTTTAGCTGTGAGCAGCTCCCTCTTGGGGTTAAAATCCCAAGCTGTCTCTATACCCAAGAGGTCAGGACAGAGCACTACATTAGCTACAGCCACTCACCCAGGGCTCCAGCAGAGGGAGGGTGGAATGGACTGGAACTGTGTGCAGAAACTTGGGAGCTTGGAGAGCTGGGAAAGCCACAGGAGTTTTGTGCTTAATCACTCCTCACAAGACAGTAACCACCTTACTCAAAGAGCCCTTTCCCAAAGCTCTGGGGAGAAACAACAGCCACTCCTTCAAGTATTTAACACCACCCAGGCAGCAGTCAGGCAAGAGAAATGCAAAATGAGACTCAGTAACAGCCAACAAGCATTGGCCCCACCTGCTGGACATCCTCTTACCATGAACACCTGAGAGATTATTCCATTCAGGTGAGGGCTACAACCCAAGGCTTAACAACTAACTGAGACTAATAGCCTCCAAGCAAAAAGCTAGTGAATAAATGAACCTTTCCTGACTTACAAATCTACACAGGAAAGTAAGACTTGATAGTTGTGTTTAACGTGAGCCCTCCCACACTGAT